TTGAGAAGTTTGATGAGGTATTTTATTGCTTCATATTCTTACTTATTTTGTATGGTACAGTCTGAAGCCATCAATGTGATTCATTATACAAATTGTACCTTTTACATCTGCAGTCCGACAGCTGCAGTCAACCATCCTCTAGAAGTGGTCCATGGAGGAAGGTAATTTCTGTTGGTTGCTTCGCTGCTTCCAAATTTTTTATCAACCTTCAGATCTTGCCTCAGCATAAAACTCTCTGTTTGCTGATATGTTCATAAAGCAATGTATTGTTTCTATTCTATTGGTAGGCCCTTTTGGCAAGATAAGGAGGAACAAGGAAAATCAATTGCAGACCATTGTTTGAATCACTTGCCTGTCAATTCTTGCGCAGTTCTGCTTTTCTGGAAAGCATTTTCTTTTTAACTTGCATTTTAGGATGTGCTTTACATGGAAAAGTTGGATAGATAAGACTTAAGGACTATTTGTCGAAGGCAGGACAATGGTAGTACCCCAATCTGCCGCAGGATAGCAAGCTTGTTTGGAATTCCCAAATTTAAAATTTCATTTGTTCTATCCGCTTTAAGGCAAACATTGGTATTGAAAATCGCCTGTTAAGTGTTATAACAGGCAGTCCCTTCTTCGTTTCATGATATGGACTATGTCCAAAGGTTAAGATTGTAATTGCTGAGACTTTGGATTGTAACGCATATTTTCTTGAAGTTTTAGAAAGCACCTATCAGGGTTGCTTGCGAGCTTTTGCTAGTTTGATTATGGGAATAATTAATGCTAGGTTGAGCATTTGCTTCCATGACTTACGGTTGTTAACATTTGCTTCTGGAAGAAAGGGATGTCCCGTATGCTCTTTAGTGAAAAGTTGTCTGCTCAAGAAGACACATTGTATTTTAAGTTCCAGTTTTTGGTTGTCTTAATAAGCCAATGTCTATGATGATCATTTTAGCTTAGGTTGTATCCTCCGATAGTTCGATGTGATAAAAATTTTTACATTCAAGTTTTCAGTTTGTTGCAGCTATTTCCCTGCCCAACCCTTTTTTTTACTCATTTTTTTACAGATGCTTTCATCTAAAGACGTAAATTTTGTTGGATACACGTATAAGAACTTTGAAATTGTCAACGACTATCAAGTTCCCGGAATGGGTACATCTCTTTTCCTCTCTTATAGTGCATTAGTTTATTATTGATAAGCTTCTCTATGTGGCCATAATTTGGCTATGGCTTTAATTATTATGCATGTCTGATAGGTATGTCTTATTTAGTAGGGCTTTTGTCCAAGTGCCGAAAATTTGTTTGCAAAAGATGAATCAATAGCTTAATTTTCAGACATTGCCACTGTGTAGACCGATCTTGCATTTCCTTTATATAATCTTTCCTTTTTCAGATGTCCAAAATAGATTGTCGACCAATATATCAAATTTTTGGTTCACATCAATGAGGTAGCTTGTCTGGCATCGGGGTAGCGTAGAACCTAAACTGGCGGGCCATGTTGAAAATTAAATCCTGATTTTTTATGTGGATGTGCAGATTATATCGTGTATTAAATCTAAAGGGTGTTCAGTTTTATAGTCACAGTCATGCTAATTTTTCTCTGTGCTCTTGCAGCTGAATTGAAAAAGAAAACCTCCAAAGCTAAGAGGCCATCCGTCAAGTCACTTTTTGGTAAGCCCGTAACTCTTTTTTTCCACCATTTTATATCATTTATATAGTATTTGTAACTCCTTCGTTTGAAAGTATGCTAAACGGGATTGGCATATATGATAGATGGCGAGACAGCTGAAACATCAGAAGCCTCCGAGGCTTCTGCGAGCATTGACTCTGCTTAAGGTTAGAAGGTCTTCCTACCCCATTTAGAGTTCATATCGTGGCAAGAAGTGTTCCTCCCCCTAACCAAACAATCTTTTTGATGCATCCAGTCAGACAGCCACAAACTCAAGCCAAGTAATTTAACAGCATTTTGACTCTCCATTGATACAACTTTTTTCAAGCTGTTTTGTGCTTGGACGCACGTGTTCTGGCTACGTTCATTAATAGTTATATGGCAGGGCAGATCGAGCGAAGGCAAGAAGAAGAAAGTGCTGAGTGCCCTGTCTAGTGAGTTTCGCGTGGGAGCAGATTGACCTGATCTCTTCAACCCATGTTGAATTAGAGGCTCAACAACAAAAAACAAAGACTCATGCTGAATTTGTCAAATTATTAGATTGACTTGGCTTGTGATACATAACTTAGTAAACTATATTCATGACTAGTCTTATTAATTTATAAAGTTTTCTGAAAAACAAAGCATGCTTGTCAAACAATGTTTTTGATCAAAAGAGCTTAGTTTTGTGGCATGATATGTGATTGATATTCATGCACGTAGTTAGTAGTAATATTTTATTCAACTACATTACTTGCATGTACGCAATATAAATTTCTTCTTTTGATGATTTCTAGAAGGGCGTTTTGTCTCGCTTATATGAAGTTTAGCTACTATTGGCTTTGCCCAGTGCGGATTGGAATGTTATTTAGGTGACACTTGTGATCATATTAGTCCGTTTGTGCCCTGTTTGATCCATTCGCTTATAAATAATTTGCTGTGCTGCGCAATCACTAATTAGAAGGTTCTTACGTTGACCCAATACTTTATTAGGAGCAGAAAGTCGAATCATTTTCTGAATTCCAGAGTCATTTTCTCCAGTGTGATATTAGTCTTGTAAAAGAGTTACAAGTTAAAACAAGAGCAGGCAAAGCAGAGAGGGCTTTTGCGGGTGACGTGTGCTTGACGTTGATCATGAAGACTGCAGAAGTGATAGTATTACATGATTCTCATGGAATATTCTGATGCTCAGAGCTAGCAGCCTAGCACTGTCTTGGATTCCCTTTCCATTCGGCTGATTGCTCTCTTAAATTAAATAAATAAGTATTAAGAGCTACTAGTATATAACTAATTTAAAAAGATTCATAAAATTAGTTAAGTTGATTACTTATAATAAATATGTATTGACTTTCTTAAACTATCATATTTAATCCTAAATGTATTAGAACTGTCACTTGCTGAGATATGAATTTGAAAAATACAATAAATTGAAGTTTTATATTTTTTAGAATCAAATACAATTTTTAACCAAATTTTATATTACGAACAAAAATAATAATATCTTCCCCATTTAAAAAGCATTTTATTTCCGGAAGTCGAGTGTTCAAGCTCTCACTCTAATTGTTCTTTCTTGCCTTTGTAAGTTTGTATCAAAAGAAAACATTTTATTACCTTTCGCCGTCTTGTATCGTGTGAGCAGGGAAACGGAACACACCTGACCCACAATTGACCTCTGCGTATTACCTGCCGGCTAGCTTACGGGGTTAATTACACATTAAGGAAAATAATTTAATCCGTCTCTTAATTATTTTATTGATGAATACAATGCGTCAGTGACAATAATTTTTTCCGAATTTTCGTTGTTATGCAAATAATTTCCTTAATCCTTATGGTATATGAAAACACACACACACACGCGTAAAACCTAACCTGTTCAAAGAGCTAAACTTTAAATAGTCATATTGATATGAACGTTCTGCTATTTGAGTTGTTTAAACCTCCTAAGCTGTATAATAAACAAAATATTTAATGATTGTGTGTAAGTAATTTAACTTTGACAGTAATGATTGAGTTTTATATATCGAACTGTCGTTGTGGCTTGGTACTGAAGGCATTTGGAGGGTTTCTATGTATGCCACCATTAACCAGAATAAATTACATGGGAGACATCTCTTTCAAGTAAAAAGGTGTTTAACAACTTAATATATTACTCGCGGCAAAACAAACATCGATTTGACTTATTAAATGTATTGGATAGGTATTTGCATTACAGCTTACAGATATAATAATAATTAAATAACTGTCAAAACTACAGGATTATTTAATAACATCTATATGTATAATGTAGGGTGTAATTACCGGCTGCCGTTAATTAGGTATTTGAGTCTATAGATTATAATTTTTCCTGCATCAACTAGGTATTAAAAATATTGTGAATAATTTCAGTTGGAGGTCAAGTAAGTACTAAATTAAGGCAGCAGGACAGATAAACAAGAGTAACATATTTCAATCTATTCATGTCTTGCCCTATATATTTATGAAAAAGGGAGAATCTCACTAAAAAAAAGTCTCAAATTACTAAATCTTAAAATAAAGAATTTTTATAAAAATGTGTTATTATTTATAAGTCCAGTATTATCAAAACTTATTAAAGTACTGTTACTGAATCTAATTTAGGATTTGGTGATTTCAAGTTTTTTTATGTGGATTCTCCCTTTTAAAAATATACTAGCCAGATATATTTATGTTATACGTTTGTTTCCATATTAAAAATTCAATAACTATTATCTTGGAAACTTCTCAATCTCCTGTGAGTGTAAAGACCTCCTCAACGGTGTTAAAATTTAGGAGGTGTTTGGGTAAAAATAAAACCATAGTCTTAAAAGTGATTTTATGATATACGAAGTAAATATATAGAGGAGTTTGTAAAATTTACAGAAAAATGATTTCTAAAAGCATTTTTATAGTTTTCCAAATACTCCCCTTAATTGCAGGTGAGAGCTGTACCGAAGAAGAGCTGAATTGAGAAAAATAAAGTTTAAATTTCACAATACACGTGAATAACTCCCATTGTCAAAAAACATATGCCGGCCTTATATATCCTCACCATAACGTAATCCATGACCTGGAAATTTAAATTATTGAAGTTCCCTGTTGGATGCATAGTCACAGAGCATTAACATATAGATTTCATGTGTGATTAAAAGCAACGATTTCCCCATCAATCAGTTTTTAATTATTGGCATCATACTATTAATTATCATTATTATATTATGATATAGTGGTAGTTGCTCCTTCCCCATCGCCATATATAGTCAAGACAAGACAAAAAAGTCCCTCTTCTTATAATAAACACAAGTTTTGTATCACCCCTCAAAACTTGATGTTCATGTGACGAACGTACACTTGAAAAATCATTCATTAACAATTATTTATATCATAAATCACTATTAAACCAACATGTAATACTTAGCTCCTAGTTCCTCATCTTTTTCCAGATGTCTTGACTATGCCGGCCTTCTTCCCTTGAGCTCAAAATCCCCAGATTTTATTTTACTACTTCCTGTTCTATTTATAGGACCTCGTTTGTATACTGCAAACAAGATCTTATAATTAGGACTGAAAGTAGTATTTTTTAATTTTAAGTCATCATCGCCTTCTTCCTTTATATAAGTAACATCTTCCTCTGCGCTAAACCCTCTCTCTTCCTTTCTCTCTTTCTTTCTTTTGATCGATGAACCTCTGTGATGAAAGCGGGATTTGAGGTGATTCATGGCGATTTCAACATGATCAGACCACATCATATGCATGAATCTTGGGACTACCCGAATAATGTTGGGCTGTCTTCATCAGCTGCAACATCATCATCGATCCAATTTTCAAAGCCACCACCCATTGACACTACCACTCACAATACTGTAAACTTGGCAACAAACGAGTTTTCAGATTGGGTGGAGCATATTACCAAACACCTTGTGGACGACTTGCCAGCTGAAACCACATCTGATCATAACTTTCTTCCTTATAATAACCATCACCAAACAAGGTCGTATTCTCAGGACAACCTCGTAGGCACAGTAGTTTCACCTGTTACGTACCCTAGAAAAGGTCCCTTCATCAACAACGACCTGCAAATTCAAATTCAAACAAATCCAGTAGATCATCACGACCAAAACAATGATGGTGGGTTGCACCTTTTAACACTTCTAATGGAGTGTGCAGTAGCGATCTCAGTGGATAACCTCAGTGAAGCACACAGGGTGTTGCTTGAGCTTACCCAAGTGGTCTCACCTTACAAGCCGTCCTGTGCAGAGCGTATTGTTGCCTACTTTGCTAAAGCCATGTCTAGCAGAGTAATGAACTCGATGCTCGGAGTATTTTCCCCTCTGATTGATCATAGGAGCATTCACTCTTCATTCCAAGTGTTCAACAACGTTTCGCCTTTCATCAAATTCGCTCATTTCACTTCAAATCAAGCAATTCTCGAAGCAGTGCATTGCTGTGATAATATTCATATTATAGACTTAGACATTATGCAGGGTCTTCAATGGCCAGCCTTCTTCCACATCCTCGCCACGCGAATGGAGGGCCGACCACGAGTTCGAATGACAGGCATGGGAGCTTCGATGGACCTCCTCGTTGAGACAGGCAAACAACTCACGAACTTCGCTAAAAGGCTTGGAATGTCGTTTCATTTCCAACCAATCGCGAAAAAGTTCGGGGAAATCGAGGATGTCTCCATGGTGCAAGTAAGACCCGGCGAGACACTGGCCATTCACTGGCTACAACACTCACTGTACGACGCAACAGGACCAGACTGGAAAACCCTGAGGCTTCTTGAAGAATTAGAGCCAAGAATCATAACCCTGGTGGAACAAGATATTTCAAGCGGCGGGTCGTTCTTGGATCGTTTTGTTGGGTCTTTACACTATTACTCTACTGTGTTCGATTCTCTTGGAGCTTATATGGCCAGTGAGGATCCTAACAGGCACAGGGTCGAACACGACCTTCTGTCTAAAGAGATAAATAACATATTGGCCATAGGAGGACCAGCAAGAAGTGGAGAAGACAAGCATAGACAATGGAGAAGTGAGCTTGCGAGGCATTGTTTTGTGCAGGTTCCGATGAGCCCTAATTCTATGGCTCAAGCTCAACTGATATTGAACATGTTCTCAGCTTCTCATGGCCATGGCTATACGCTTGCTCATGTTGATGGCACACTCAAACTTGGATGGAAGAACACTAGTTTGTATACTGCTTCTGCATGGACATGTTATTCCAATAATGACCTATAGGTAGGTTACTGAAAAAGCTGGAAATTCTTCAATATGCCTTTTTGTATATGATTGTGACGAGTAGTGGGAAATAATGGAAATTACTTGTTGGCTATGGTGGACACTATATAAACTTGTCTTGTGGGTTGGCCTTTTCGTTTGACGATGCATGATTTATTTCTCTCAGTCTTGTGTGCTTTTCCTTTTTTCTGTGTAAAGGAAGAAAAGGTGTTGGATTCATGGAGACTAATCTTCAATTAGTTCGTTCGTTTTTTTCCCCTTCTCCCCCTTTTCTGGAGTTAAAAAGATATAAATGGGAATGGAATCTTCTTGATGAGATTCTTCCGCTTGTCTCAATCTTTGGATGCTCCCGTGCACATGACCAATCACATTATAACCATCAGTAATACTCCTCTAGTCCTTAATATAAGACCAATTTTGAGTTAGTTTTGGTTCTAAATATAAGACCCATATTTCATATTTATCAGTTTTCTCTAAATTACCCATATAGATATACTCCTCAACCATAATTAAGTAGAAAAGGGAGATGGGGTATTAAGAAAGATGATTATGGTGTTTTAGGAAAAATGTGTCACTTTTTTTATAATTAACTAACTTACATAACTTCCTTAATCTAATCAAATTAGTTAAATGGGTCTTATATTAAGGACTGAAAAGTAATATTTAAATGCTATATTGCTCCCACAATGGATCCAATTAACCTTATCAGTTTAGGGTGCTCATCAAAATAAAAAACACCATAACTAATTCCTGATTATGATGTTATTATACAACAAATTAAACTAAACCTCATTCCTAAAACCCATATATTTCCACATATAAATTAAAGCTTAGTTTTTTTTTAATGAATGTTAGAAACAATAATGATAACTGTTAGTTGAGATAGTAAGCGATGTCACCTTGTAATGAGTTTGAATATCAGCAAACACATTTATTGTGAGGGTCTTGGCATTTACACTCTCGACCCAACAGATATTAGTTTCAAGTTTTCCCCTCTCTCTTCTGGGGGTTGGGGTTGTTGATATGTTTGTCTTAGATGGACGTGATGATGCTGGACGATGCTGGACGAGTAGTGGAGGGCGTACGTGGCATATTAATTATTCTGGTGAGCTTAATTATTGATGACATTCATATATATTGGGATCAGCTCTGCGTCAAAGTTGCTATATCTAAATCTCAGTGTATCACCATTTGGCCCCATCTGTCTCTAAAAGCTCCTACGAAACCACATCCATGTCTTCCCACCACCAAACCTCCCCTCACTACCTTTTTTTCTAACAATTTGTGTTCTTGATCCCTAATCCATAAAATCATATTCATAAGTAGATTTATCTTTAATGTGAGAATCTTATTAATAGATGATTTGTAAGTATTCCCATATAAAAAGTCATTGAACACGGGAGCATGCATATGTCTTAACTTCCATGTGTTTCTGTAAATTCTTGGCCGAAGTTCTTATAATAACTTGGAAAAAAAAACTTTTTCGTGAATTAACACAGTCTGAGAATTTATAGTTATAATTTGTAAGTCTAGTACCACCACCTCCTATTCTAAAATGTAAGATTTAAGGAGGTGTTTGGAAACACTCAAAAGTGTTTGTTAGAAGTATTTTTCTTCTAAACAAGATAAATTCCTCTATATATTTATTTCATGCATTCTATAAAGACACTTTTAAAACTATAGTTTTAGTTCCATCTATACACCCCATTAATTTGCTAACTGAAGTTAGTATTTTTTGTTTTTGAGAGGGTATGCATGTTTTCAATTCAAGGAAATATTTATATGTATATATTCATATATATTCGTGCAAATCAATAAACGGGGGACATTCATGAAAGTCTTCATTATTACGTGATGGGGACGCAGCATTAATTGCGGGATGGGGTCATGTCTTGGCTAATTTGTAAATTGCAATAATGGATCCCACGTTTTCCCTCTTATTTCGCACATCATTGCCCTCTTTAATCATAAAATCGTCTGCTTTACTTTTTTATTTTTTTAAATTTCCTAATCAAAATGGCCATGCCTGCGAGGCAAAGGCCATTATTATTATTTTTTAGAAATTATAGTGTTTTATTTATCATGAAGTAAATTATTTTCCCCAAAATTTTCAATAAATTATCAAATGTATAAAAATACGATGTAGCCTTATAGGATAAATGTTAAAATAATACTCCTTTAATCTTAAATATAAGACTTATTTTATATTATAAAACTATACTAAAAATTGGTCTTTTTTTTTAAAACTGATCTTATATTTATCACAAAAAACAATTTAACATTAAGGCTCTCTACACTGCAACGGCTTTTAGAATTGGGCCATTGGAGCCCAAGTCTTCACAATTGGGCCATGACAGTAACTCGCCCTTACAGTAAAAATGAAACGAGACTAGAGAGACTTGCTGGAAGCCACAAGATGATGCGACGCTATTGCGATGCAATAAATCCACAATAAGATATTTTTATTTGTCTTCTATTCCTTTATCTCTGTGAATCATAATTTTGGCCAAAAAAATATGAATCATAACTTGTTTTCTACTGAAAAAATTGTTCTTAAAATGACTAAAAATGTGATGATAAATTAAATGCACAAAATATTTCTTCCAGAAAACACTTGGACAGCCAAACGTGAGTGGCACGGAGAGAGGATATTGGTTAATCCGTCGTATTCGTATCTCGGTCGTTAAAATTGAAAGATTTATGTACTTATTTGGAATTGGGAGTTTAATTTCCCGGCACTAAGCGGTTAAAAATTGGAGAAATTCGTACGAAAAATAACAACTAAGAAAAAGGAAAATTTCAAAAATTACCTCAGAAAAACAGCGATTATTATTATTATTATTATTATGAAAAATCTCCTACGTGCTGTTGGCTTCTCAGTTCCCCATCTCCGTCTTTCTCTCTCTTCCCGTCAGTTTCCGTGTTCTGTCCATCTCTCAACTATTGTTTTGTCGAACTATTAAATTCTCTTCCTATGTGATCGCGCACAGGCTCCACAATCTCGTCTTTTTATTCCGTTTCTTCAAGAATTTGTGCTACCCTCTGCATTTTATTTTATTGGGTCAATGCGCTCCTGTTTTCTGCAAGTTAGGGCTTCAGTCCGTGGCCTGGGCTGATTGATTTGCGTTGTGTGCGGTGCAGAATGTAGGAGAAGGCCGTGTTCTATCATGAATAAAGATTTCATCCCCATTGCTGGAGGATGTTGAAATTTTGATAAACTCGGTTCATTTCGATTTTCTCTTATTCTGGATTTACGCCATAATTCAATTTACTGCTATTTGGATGATTAGATTGGGAAATCTCTTGGGATTTTGATGGAATTTATAAGAAAGCAACGAATTTTGACTGCATAATCAATTAATTCGGCGAATCCGGGGACAATGAGAGTGAGGGTTGCTCTACATGCGGTTGTGTACAATTACGTGTTGATTTCGGTACGAATTTGAGCGGAAAATTCCATTACGTTTGCTGGCTGCGGGGAAGCTGCATTGAAGGCATCATTTTGTCATGGATCATTTGGTTGGTGGGAAGTTCAAACTGGGAAGGAAATTGGGAGTGGTTCTTTTGGGGAGCTTTATTTAGGTATTAATATTTCATTTTTGTTAGATTGCAACTTATTTTTGTGTTCTTATATCGCTTTAAACATATTCCAGGCGTAAATGTGCAAAATGGAGAGGAGGTAGCCGTTAAGCTGGTACGTCAAGTTTTACCTTTTATGTGACTTGATGGGGAAAAATGCTTTCATGGTGGAGTCTGTTATGAATTTCCAGAGACTGGTTACTAGTTTTCTTTACGAATGTGCTAATTTTGGCTATCTTGAATGTGTGTGCATATGATCAAGATCACCGTTATTTTAATTTGTTGAACCTCGCATTTATGTTTGTTCTCTATGTTATACCATGTCCAGTGGATATCTGTTGTGCTATATTTAGACGCTTTAACATTGGCGCTAGGGTTAGTAAAGTGCATCTTCATTTTTCAACCATCGCATTTATGGTCCGTCTGAAACATTCCACGAAATTTGGAGATATGGTTCATTTCTATATTCATAAAGAAATGAAACCTCTCTCTCCACTAGTTGGATTGCACAGAAGTTTTATAAGAAATCAGTGAGATCTCAATAAAGATTGAAGTAACATGCAAAATGCTACATTGTGTCTTCTCTTTATCTTGTCTACAGTCTTTGTCATATCTTTCCTTTTGTTGTTTTACAAGAGAAGAAAATTCTTATATCTGTTAATAGCATCAGTATATCCATGTGTCACGAATTGATCTGCTGCTAGTTCTTGACTGCCTCTTTCTCCTTCAAAAAATTTCAGGAACCTGTGAAGACCAGGCATCCTCAACTTTTCTACGAGTCAAAATTGTATATGCTTCTTCAAGGAGGAAGTAAGTCTGGAACACTGGGCCTTTCGAAGCGTTTGATGATACAAGCTTGAAGGGAATCCCTTTTCAGTATTCTCTATGCTGAACGCAATTTTTTCTAAAAAAAGTTTTTTTTTCTTTTTAAATCTGGAGTTTAATCTGATTGATGTCTAGACTCTAGAAACTTCTGTTGATGAAATCAGATTCAGAATCATCTAAACCCTGTGTTTGAAGAAAAATAATAAAGGGAAAATTTTCAGTAAACAACTTGGGTTTTTCCTTTGAATAATCTAGTATGGTTCTTCCTTAATGAAGCGGGGATTCCCCACATCAAATGGTTCGGAGCCGAGGGAGACTATAATGTTATGGTTATTGACCTTCTTGGACCAAGTCTGGAAGATTTGTTCAACTATTGCAATCGGAAATTCACATTGAAGACTGTGTTAATGCTTGCTGATCAATTAGTAAGTCTAGTCGGCAATTGTGCACCTAGTGTTCTTAAATAGTAACATCATCATTTAAATTTTACTTCATATTATTGTTTATTTTCAGATTAACAGAGTTGAATATATGCATTCAAGAGGTTTTCTTCACCGTGATTTAAAGCCTGACAATTTTCTTATGGGCCTAGGACGTAAAGCAAACCAGGTATGTTATTTTTGTTAAGAAGCTTGCTTTCTAGTTCTTTCTTTCTTTTGCGTCGGTCCTCACACTAGGCAAAAGATTTTAATTG